TTAACCAAGGGAAAGCAAGAATCAAAATAAAAGGTGAGAACTCCCCCTTGCCTTTGAGTTTTTGGGCGAGAAATTGAAGAAGGAAGGGCTGGAATTTGTGGATCTCCAAAGAGAGCTTGCTGGACCAAAAAACAGCAACCAAGATCTTCAAGTTCTTCCTCCTAGGTGAGTTCTTTCAACACGAAAATTGGAGGGATGATAGAGGAAGAAGTTAGTGATGGAAGGGTGAAGTGTTTGAGTAATTTGGATGAAGAAATTGTGGTGTTTGAGGGGCTGGAAGCTCTCGGTTTTCTTGAGAGAGTTTGAGAGAATTTGAGACTTTGAGAGAATAAAAATGATGAAGCAAAGTGAGAGAGAGAAATGAGAAATCAAGTGGAGAGAATGAGAAGTGAGGTCTCGGTTTCTTGTTTCCAAAATGGGCAAATGGAAAAAATATGAATAATTTATATGGAGGTTATGGTCTGAATGGTCCAAGGTAATTAGGAACTCATGGTTAGCTTATTGGATAAGCCTTGGAAGTCCCAAAATTTGCTCACGGTACAAAAGAAGTAGAATTGAAGTGAAATAGGTGAGAATGGTGCAAGAAAAAGGTGTTATGGTTTTTAGTGTAGGAATAGTTATTTTTAGAGAAACTTGCAAGCAAAGTTAGTATATTTTGGCAAGTAAAATGCATGGAATAATTTAGGGCTGCATGCACATAGTTTAGGTATCACAAATCCCAAAATTTTTCACAAAAATCAAAAGCTAAGATTTTGGACAGCAAATGCAAGAAATTTGGTTGGCCGAGAAAAATGCGACATGACTAGGTTGTCACTTGGATGAGACATTTGATGTGGTGCTAATTTCAAGAAAGACAATTAATTAAGGTAATTATGGTGTCGGCAATTTGGAAGACATGAAAAGAAAGTTCCGAAATGACTTTGCCAGCGAATCGGGAGACAAGAATATCTTGCATGTAATTCTAGTGGTCGGTACTAGATTTTGGAAGATTCGGGTAATCATGGTGTTTGCACTTTAGGGGACAAGAATATTTTGCATGAAAATCTAGTGGCCGATACTAGATTTGTAAAGATTTGGAGTAATGATTACAGGACTAAGTAATGATTACAAAATCTTTTGAAATGATTATAAAATCTTTTGAAATAAATATAAAATCTTTTGAAATGATTATAGGATTTTTTGAAATGATTACAAAATCTATGTAATGATTACAAAATTGTTTTGCAGTAATTACAAAATATTTTGAAATAAATATGGAATATTTTGTAATGATTACAAAATCTTTTTGCAGTGATTACAAAATCTTTTGAAATAAATAGAATATTTCATAATGATTACAAAATCTTTTTGCAGTGATTACAAAATCTTTTGAAATAAATATAGAATATTTCGTAATGATTACAAAATTTACGTAATAATTACAAAATCTCACATTTTTCAAGAATGATAATTACAATTTTTCAATAATTTAAATAAGACAAAATATGGCTTTTTGAACAAGATTCTCAAGGGTATTTTTGGGTAATACAGCTGAATACAATCAGGACAATTCTTGGATGATATCGAAGCCAAGTGTGTTGCATGCAATTACTCTAAAATGCAGAACTTAGAGATCAAGTCATTATTCTCCTCAGTGAATAAAAATAGAAAATTCAACATCTATCTAATTATTCTGATACTAGCAAGTCGGAATCAGCAAATAATTAAAATTCAAGAGCTAATAGCCAACTAACGAAAATTTGGGGCATTACAGACATCCTCCCCAGTATTGATTCTTTCTTATACTAATAGACCTCTTAAAGTGTTTTGTGATGCTTCACATTAAAGTTTAAGATGTGTCTCAATACAAGATTGGAAAGTAGTAGCTTACACATCACATCGATTGAAAATTCTTGAACAAAACTATTCTACTAATGAACTTGAGTTAGCTGCCATGATTTTCATTCTAAAGATATAAGAGTACTACCTTCATGGAGCATAATTTTATGAGTGCAATAATCACAAAGGTATAGAAAATACTTGTTGAGTAGTGACAATTGAATATAAGGCAAAGGTATTGCATGAGATTTCTCAAATATTATGAGTTCTAACTTTAATACTGCCCTAGCAAAGTAAATGCAATGACAGATACCTCGATTAAGAGTTTGGTTCAGGCTTTCTCTTCGAGAGTTAGTGAATCCATTCTAATGGAATGAGTTCAAGACCTGAACCTACGCATAGACTTATCTCTTGGGAAGATTGGTGTGGCAAGATTGTTGTGACTGGCGAATTTCTACATGAAATTAGGACAAGCAATTGTGGAATTCCAGGTCAAGGAAAATTGTATTTTTTTTTTTTTTGGGGTACGAATCTACCAATAAGCTTCAGCAAAGTCGTTGGTGACATTCTTAGATAATGAGAATCGAGTTGATAATACTAGAGATGTTGAGTTAAAGAGAAAGACCCTGGATGAAGAACTTAGGGGCAGCTTAAACCCTCAACTTGAAGTGATAAGAATACATTAGTATCTAAGGCAAGAATTATGGTGGCTAAGTGTGAGAGGAGAAATAGGCAGATTTAGTAAGACCTATTTCACTTGTCAAAAGGCAAAGTCAGAGGGTTAGAGTTCACTTAGGGAGTTGTAAACCAAGAATTTTGTACCTCATCTGCTGAGGACCATTATAGATCATGACATTGTTTGGATCATAGTTGATAGGCTGACAAAGTATGCGCATTTCTTGCAATGTTAGATCCTTGTTTCACTCCCCAATTTTGGCAGGACGTCTAAGGAACTATAGCAATTCATTTGAAGTGAAGTGGAGTGTAGTGTACCACCTCAAATGGATGACCAATCAGAGTAGATTATTTAGATCTAAAGAGACTTATTGCAAGCTTGTGTTCCTTTTATCAGAGGGGAATTGGGAAGATATGCTTCTTTTGGTAGAATTCACTTGCAACAATAGCTACCATTCAAGCATTGGCATGGCACCTTTCGAGGCCTTCAATTGCAGGAGATGTCAGACTTTTGTTTGTTGGTTCTAAGATGAGGTTGATTTAATTGTTGGACTCGAGATGCTTCAAAGGGATGTGGAGCAAATTAAACTTATCTAGGAGAGATTGAGAACGACTTAGAGTCATCAGAAGTCTTATATCGATTGATGCCAGAGACTTTTGAAGTTTGAGGTAGGTGATCATGTCTTCCTTAGAGTATCACGAATAGGTGTAGAATGAGCTATAAAGGCAAAGAAACTGACACCTGCGTTCATTGGACTATACTAGATACTACACCGTAGAGGGCCAGGGGCCTACAATTAGTTTTACCACCTCAAGTAGCAAGATTGCACAATATTTTTCATGTGTTACAACTAAAGAAGCACGTTCGTGATCTATTTCACATGATCGAACCAGATATTATGCAAAATGAGATGATTTGTCAGTTAAGCTTCCAGCCTCGTGCCTTAAAGACACTAGGGTTAAGGACTAATGAGGAAAGGCCATCCGACTAATGAAAGTCATTTGGGATCCGGTCACCAGCAATGTGATGTAGGAGTTAGAGGATCATATGAGGGAACAATACCCTCTTCTTTTCTCAAATGAGTGAATTTTCGAGTACAAAAATTTATTTTTGGGTGGAGAATTGTCAGGCCTACGTTATGTGGATGCTCATTTACTTTTAAGATGTTGTAACTAATTAATTATGACATCCTTGTATTTTGAATGCATTGTTGTATGTTGGTTATGGCATGAAATGACTTGAATTCATGTATATATGATCTGTATAGTTGTTGAGTAAAAGGCTTATGCATGTTGTAACCAATTCAAACATGCATGATGGGGTTGATAAGCTTCCCCACATTATTTATTATGCTTCTAGAACCTTGGATCCAACAAATGTAATTACACCACAATTGAAAAAGAATTGTTGGCCATAATTTTTGCATTGGATAAGTTCAGGTCATATCTTTTAAAGTCAAAAGTTGTGGTTTTTACTTATCATTCTACCTTGAAGTATTTGCTGAAAAAGACAAATTCTAAGCCTAGGCTGATCAGATGAATGCTCTTACTTCAAGAGTTTGATTTAGAGATCAAGCATAGAAGTAGAACTCATAATTTGGTAGTTGACCACCTAAGCAGAATAGAGGGAGTTCCTGACCCTATTCCACTTTTAGATGATTTTCCTGATGAGCAACTCTCAAAGTTGTATGTTTCACAGGCATCCTGGTATGTTGACATTGTTAATTTTCTAGTTGCAAGGGCCTTTCCAGCAGATGCACCAAAAGCTAAAAGTGATGCCAAACATTACGTTTGGGATAACTTATTTATGAAAATTTTGCAATGACCAAGTCATCAAAAGGCACATACCTGATGAAGAGATTCCATTCATACTACATTTTTGTCATGCCTCAGCTGTAGGAGGTCATCAAAGACCCTAGAGGATAGCAAGGAAAGTGTTAGATGCAGGACTATATTGGCCCTCAATTTTTAAAGACTCTTGACAAACATATTCCACCTGTGAGAGATGTCAAAGAGCGAGAGGAGTGATTACTTGGAGATAGGAAATGCCCCAACAACCCATACTATATTGTGACATCTTTGATGTCTGGGGTATTGACTTCATGGGACCCTTCCCTTCATCTTTTGGTTTTCTTTATATACTTCTTGTTGTTGATTATGTCTCAAAATGGGTGGAAGCTAAGGCCACCAGGTTGAATGATGCTAGGGTTGTTGCAGATTTTGTTCGTTGCAATTTGTTCTGCAGGTTTGGAATCCCTAGAGCCATCATTAATAATCAAGGGAGTCACTTTTGGAATAGAACAATAGATGTCTTATTGAAGAAATATGGAGTTGTACACAAAGTGTTCACTGCCTATCACCCATAAACAAACGGGCAAGCTAAGCTCTCTAACAAAGAAATCAAGAAAATACTTGAGAGAGTAGTGCAGCCCCACAGAAAAGACTAGAGCCAAAGGCTTAATGACGCACTATAGGTACACAGAACTGCATTTAAGACACTCTTGGGAATGTCACCATATAAGGTGGTCTATGGAAAAGCTTGCCATTTGCCAGTTGAGGTAGAACACAAAGCATACTGGGCAGTGAAGGCCTGCAATATCCATTATGACTCAGCTGGGGAGCAGAGGAATTTGAAACTGCAAGAGCTAGAAGAGATGCGTCTTAAGGCTTATGAGAACTCAAGAATTTACAAAGAAAAGACCAAGAGGTACCATTACAAGATGATATCAGGGAAAGACTTTTCCATTGGTTGGAAGGTCTTCTTGTTCAATTCTCGCTTCAAAATCATGCCCCAAAAGCTTAAATAAAAGTGGATTGAACCATTTACAGTCACAAAGGTATGCCCTCATAGTGCAGCAGAGATCAAGAGTGACTCCACTAATAAGAGCTTTATGGTAAATGGACACCATTTGAAGCACTTCTTGCAAAGTCCAGTCCCCTTGGAAGAGGTTAAAGAGATTGACTTACATGCTACTGTCATGAACTTCAACCACAACCCTTTCCTTGAGTAATTCACTTCATCCATCAAGCTAGTGACGTTAAAGAAACGTTGTGTGAGATTCAACTCACAATTTGATTAAGAATTTTAGTTGTTCTTTTGCATTCAATAAGAGTCTTATATTTGAGCTGTAATAATTGATGAATTCCTGCATAATTCTGCTACTCTAACTTTTCATTATGAACCATGCTTGTTAATTGACATCATTTTCTGCATAATCTTATTCTTTACAGTGGAAAATTGTAAATCTTGGATTGTATTCATGCATAAATTTAAGGAAGTTCAAGTGCATAAGAGAGTGATCATTTCCACCACACGACATAGTCACTTTAAGGAAGAAGTTTCAATTTCATCATGAGAGGTGACCACTTTCATTTTCATAGTAGCCACTCTCAGCTAAGGTATGTGGCCCTACTCTCTATAGTTATCACTTTCACATTTGGCAGTAACCACTTTCAAGGTTTTTTGGGCTAACATGAATGCGCGTAGCTACTTTCATTTTCATAGTAGCCACGCACAGATACACTGGCAAAATTCATAGAGAAGCACTCTGTAGTTGTCACTTTCATTTCTATAGTGGTTACGCAGGAGTCCTTTTTGAGCAAACATGTTGCGCATAGCCACTTTCATTTTCATAGTAGCTACGCATAACCCCATCATGCATGTTTGAAAAATAAGCACTCTTTTTAGTTCCCACTTTCATTCTCATAGTGCCCACGCGCAACACCATATTTTAAAACTCCACTGAACGTGTCTACTATGGATTTGAAAGTGACCATGCCCACTATTTATATATTGAAAGTACCCACTTTCACCTTCATTCTCACTCTCATCCCCTGAGCACTCTCACTCTCGTCTTCAATTTCCCTACATTTTCCCCCTCGTCTCCAATCTAGGTAATTCTTCAATCCCCATCTTTCTGTATTAAGGTTCATTATTTCCCAAATTGGGGATATTGGAGCTTCATGCATTGAAATTGTTGGGTAAATTATGTCATTTGAAGTATGATTGTATTATTGAAGGGGATTAGAGGTGTTTAATTTGGTTAATTTGTTGCATCTTTCTCAGGACTGAACCCTAGGGTAGCCACCCTCATATGTGATAGTGATTGTTTTGTACGTTTTGTTGCAATGGTGCTTACTCTAAGTCTACTTTATGCAAATAGTCGTTACCTTGTCTTCAAATTCACCTTTCTATGGTTAAATTGCACCACACTTCACCCTGATTTAATCTACCATGTGCAGAACCCATAGTGGTTACTACCCTGTATACATATGATCCCTTAGGACTGTAAATTTGATTTTAAAAAATGTTCACTTTGGAACTACAATGCATTCATAGGCTGCTAGGTGTGATGTTTCTCCTAGTGCCTTGTGCTTAACCATACTAATTTGCAATCTCGTTGCTAGAATGAACACAATCAATTGCCACACATTCGCACACCTTTGTTCAAATTCTGCAGCTTGAAAGTGTTCACTTTCATTTTCACACATTCACACTTTGTTTCTGTGTGACTTTCCTTATTGCAAAGTAGCTATTTAGATTTCCTTACACCACTTGCATGCTCTCTCTGTAATTTGCTGTCACCCTTGCCTATGGTTTACATTTCTACACCAATTGCATCATTATATTTTTTACATTTTGCTTAAGACCTGCATTGTCATAGTAGCCACTATCACTATGAACTCTGACTACAAGTGTTCACTTTTGAACTATAGCTCTCTCTGAATTGTTGTGCTATTGTGCTTTGCATCTCTGCCCATGACTGCATCATGTTTGATCAGCATAATCTGTGATGAATTCACTGCCTGCATTCTGCCTGGACATTCTTTATTATAGTGTTCATGTTGGCTGTACACCTCTCATTTTCCATTGCACACTGTTGTCCACATAATCCATGTCATTCACACATAGCTTAACATGTCACCAACATTTAGGAGTGTTATATGTGCATTTGGCTGCATAACAGCTACCCTAACTACATTGTTTCATAGTGGTCACTCTGGACTCAATTTGTAGAAGTCTATACATACACTTGCTAATGCATATGGTCCCTTCTGCATTCTCTCGCTTCATATTTCCCATTCCCCCTTAGATTCCATGTCCCCCTGTTATATACCATTGTTGCATAACTTTTCTGACTATTTCACTCATTATTTCTTCTCTTTCTCCTTGCTGTAAAAATGGTTAACACACCAAGGAAGAATGCTCCAAGACCCAAGAGGGCCAGAACAACCGGTGACTCCTCATCTAGACCTCCGCCTGCACATAACCCTAGATTCCAATCATTGGTCCATGAAAACTATTTCAAGACCAACATCCTAAGAAGATAGCTAGTGCAGGATCATAATTTTGAAATTCAAGAAGGTACCTACCCTCAGTTCCAAGAAGAAATTCAGAAAAGAGATTGGGACCTCTTCACCTCTTGTGCTGGGAATGGGTGGAAAGAGATCATCCAAGAGTTCTATGCCAATACCATGAGGGTAAAAAGTGTCACCCTTCCCCACAGACACAGCATGGTGAGGGGTAAAGAGATTGACTTTACTCCCACCAACATCCAAAGAATTTTGAACATTCCAACTGTGCAGAGACAAGTTGGCCAATGGGACTTTACCACATTCTGTCCCTTGGAAGACAAGGACTATAAGCCTATTCTCCAAGCAATTTGCAAGGAAGGAGAAAATTGAGAGTTCAACACAAAGATGCAGCTCAAAAATCTGACAACAAGACATCTTGTTCCTGCAGCTAAAGTTTGGAGCATTTTTATTCTTAGCTCCTTCATGCCGATCATCCATTCCTCTACCTTGGCAGTGAAGAGGGCAGAGCTGATATATGTCATCCTCACAGGCATGCCCATCCACGTTGGTAAGGTGGTCAGCAATGCCATTATGGAGATCCTGAGCTGGAGCAGGGACTCCCTTGGTTTCCCATTCATCATCACTATGTTATGCCAGGATGCTAGGGTAGAGTTTGGTGAATATCAGCAGAAATTCAGAGCAGCCCCTTCTATCTCCACAGCTATGGTGAAGTAGCTGTTTAAGCCTAAAAAAACCGTTGATCCAGGATTATCACTACTAGCCGAGTATAGGAAGGACACCCCACTGAAGATGAGAGAGCAGATGAAACAGCTAGCTCTGATGCAGAATGCCATGCACTCTGGCCAAAAGGCCCTGATGACTCTAATGGATACTATGCTGCTAAACATAGGGAAGAAATCGGGGATGACTTATGCACAAATCTATGATGCCCCCACCTTCAATGCCCCCTACCTTCGAGCAGCGGTCGATAATGATCTTCCACCTTTCACTATCATTGGCTCAGGGAGAGCTAATGCAGAGACTAGCAGCTCTAACTCTTCAGAAGAAGCAGCAACAGAGGAGGAGGATGATAATGATGAAGCCACTTTATCCTCCGGCTCAAATGAAGATGTTATTAAGCTTTAATTTCTTTTCCTGTCATTTACCTTTCTATTATTTCCCTGTATATATTATTAGCCTCAGTTCCATGTAATTATCGCACATTATCACTTTTATCTTCCTTGCTTTACTTTCATATTACTACTTTTACTTTGAACAATTTAGGATATTTCTATACTTATATATATATATATATATATATATATATCATTCGCCCTCCACTTTCGTATTTGTTCTTTATATTGAATTCTGTGTATATTTGTGTAGAAAATGCCCTCAGTCTCATTTAGAGGAGCATGAATTTGACCCCCAAATTGTGAATCCATTTTCCATAAAGGGAGGGTGATCTCTTTGCCACTTTTTGATATATGTTTAGTCTAATTTTCCTACACAGTAATAGATAAAAATACAAAAAATACTTTTTCTTATTCTTTTCTTTTTAATTAAGTCTAATTTCGTAATTCCAATTTCATATTATAATTGCACTTCCCATTCAACTCACAATCATTCTCTATTTTGTACATATTTACAATTCCTACTATAATGAACATATTTTCTTGTAAGGTGAACTGTACTCACATGTTACAAGTAATTATCACCTTTACCTTGGTAGAGAATTGGGCCTTAAATTTCTTTTCTATATGCACTTTACATGTATTGTTGCATTCATCTTCTAGAACTTGCCCTGTTTCTTAATTGAATATGCATTGTACAATTTTTCATCTAGATAATTGTTGTTAGCAATCTACACTAGCAAGTGCACTAGGATTGCAGCAAGTGATGAGTAAATTTAAGATCCAAATATCGTCTCCACAGGGAATTTAGATTCAAGTATCACTTCATAGAATTATAACCATTTAAGCTTTTTTGAAATTGTAAGGAGAGTGGTAACATCTAATAACAGCAAACTGGAACAATTAAAAGTAAAATGAACTTGCAGAAAACAGAACAATGAACACACAATTATGTGATAACAGAAGGAGAAACCATAGCTAGGGAATTGCTTCACCAAAACTCCAATGTTTAATCAATAAAGTTCTGAATTAACAAGCAATTGGAAAGAATGACAATCAGTTTCACATTATACTATTCAAAGGTTAATTCCTTAACTCAGTGAACCTAACATTCAATTAAACCATTCTAATTCCTTAGATCTAATTCAATTCAATGTTGCTTTAAGTGTAAGAAACCAAAAGATTGCAAGATCAAAGTTCCTTATCCCTAAGAAAACTAAAATCTCGGTGATTGGTTCAGATCTGAAGAACAAATTCAATTTCCATTGACAAAGGTTCCTCTGAATTTAGTTAATCAAATTTCTATTCAATTCACACGTGAAGTTCAGAATCAATCACTCAATCTATTCCAAGGCTTGAAATCCAGATCCAAATCAATTCAACATGTTCATTTCAGATCTACAATCCCTAACTATGAACGAATTACACAGCCATGGCAGCAGAAGAAGAAAAAGAAAGAGAAGAAGAGAAGAAGAAACTCAGAAACGCCATGGAAGCTTGCTCCACTCCAATTCCTCTTCGTGAAGCTCCAAGATCTGAATCCCCACTCCTCTCTCTCACTTCCTCTAACCAGAAACTAACTAAAAAAACTGAAAATGAACAGAATCCCCTATTTTCCGAATCGTTTCTGGTATTTATAAAATTTCCCAGATTTTTACGTCATCACTTTTATGAGAAATAGTAGTTACGCAGAGAGTTTTTGGTTGCGCGTTAACACTTTTCCCAGAAATAGTGGCCACGCGCATTTTCTTGATATTGAGAGCTCTCTGGAACTATCACTCTTGATGATAAAAGTGACAACGCAGAGGTAGTTGCGCGTTATCACTTTTTCTGATAAAAGTGCCTACGCGCAGCTCGCCAAGTTGAAGACTCTCTGGAACGATCACTTTTGATGACAATAGTGGTTACGCAGAGCTTTCCTGATATTTTGCCTCTCTGGAACTATCACTTTTACTGATAAAAGTGGTAACGCCCAGGCTTCACTTCTTCTTTGAGCTCTGAAGTGATCACTTTCACTGACAATAGTGATCACGCCCAGTCTGCAATTTCTTATTCTTGAGTTTTTGGAGTCCAGACTTGCTTCTTTCCTCTTCCTTGTCATCAAACTTCCATGAATATGATCCTTGCTCAATTTATTCCTACAAAAACAAGATTAAACACTTAATTCCTAAGCAAAAATTTCACAATTGCTAAAATAACTACATATGTAAACAAAATTCAATTCCTTCTCTTTTTCTAAGTTTTTCTGCTTTCTTTATATATTTTTCTTATCATTTGTGTTAGAATTATGCTAAAATATCAGTCAAAATATGGATTCATCACTAATTGAGGCCTTCTTTGCATCCACCCACCTACCTTTTAATACCCTTGCACCTAATTTTCACATTTTCTTCTTCTGTCAAACTTAGTCCGCAAAAATAATTTTCTCACCTTAAGAAAGGTATTTCTTTTGAGTTGCATCAAGAGTAAATGCAAGAAACTAAGTTTGGGGTGCTGATTATTGATAAGTCTATAATTAGGCCCTCTTTGACATCCCATTTATTCATATTTGACCTTTATTTTAATTGAGTTTTACACTAATTTATTTATTAATTGTGCAGTTTGATATAAAGAGGCCACGAGTAGATTTCTGGTGCGTTTTGGGCCCAAATGAATGGGCTTAAAAGCCTTATAGCAGTAAGCACGCCCAGTGAAGCACGGGGTGCTTCGACGTAATGCACGACCATGCTGCATAATGGTGCACAACCATGCTTGTTTGCAGAAGTCACTCTTAGCAATTTTAAAGGAGTCCAAATTCTATAAATAGGAGGAAGAAGACATCGTGGAATCATCTTTTGGCTAAGCACGAATTTACACATAACCTTCCCTTCGAGATCTCGAATCATCTCCACCCCTCTTGTATGGATCGTTAGCACACTCTTAGCAGGACTTGGAGCTTTAAGTGACCATACTTGAAGACCGAAGATTCATCTCATATTCTAGTTTGGTATATCTATTCATTATGGATATGTTATTGATTGTTTTAGCGCTTTCTTTCTACATGAGTAACTAAATCCATAGCTAGGGCTATGGGGATTATTGTTTATGAATTTATGGGATTTTGATATTTGAATCTAAATTTGATTTCCGTTTCGTGATTAGAATTTATCTTTTTGCTTCTCACTCTTAACCCTGATTAATTACATCGTCAGGCGATTATACCTCAGTTAATTAATAGATCTATAGGATAAAACGAGATGAAAGATTAGGTAGACCAAACCAATCTTCTTCTTCTAATCGTTATTGAATTAACAAGTTCATAGGCTCCTTAGGCTTTCTTAAATTGATGTCTTGCATGACCATTAGGGATGTTAATTTAGAGAAAAGAATATTAATATTACATGACCATTGAATATTAATAGTATTCGTATGAATGATTAGTAATCACAAGGAAATCATATTTAGATCTAAATAGAAAAATAACATAAAGGATTGAATGAGAACACCCATACGCCCTAGGTTTTTCTCCGATAAGTGTAACGAAGACATGCTTTGTGTTTCTTGCTCTTAGTTTTATAATTGATTTTCTAAATTCTTGTGTTGATTATTCTTGCATATTTGAAGCTCAAACAATTAAATTAAGAAATTCTTAGTAATTGGTAAACAATCCTTGTGGGATGATAATTCAGGAACTTAATTTAAGAACCCTTTATTACTTCTCAATGGGTACACTTACCCTCCGAACAATTATCATTTTTTTTTTCATTTTTTTTATAATTACTTTTGATGTATGCTCAGTCGTTCTAAGTGCTCTACAACTTATTTGTTTGATCCGGAGATTGAGAGAACAGCGCGTAGACAACGAAAAGAAGTGAGAGAGCAAAGAATGGCAGAGGGAAGGAGATCGATCCAAGACTACATGACACCCAATGCCAGAGGCACTCCTGGAAGCATCGCGGCACCTAATGTGGAGGCAAACAATTTTGAGTTGAAACCAGCACTCATAACCATGGTTTAGAACTCCATACAGTTTGGGGGCATGCCTGACAAAGATCCCAATTTGCATATGACAATGTTCCTCCGATTGACGGACACCATAAAATACAACAGAGTCTCCAATGATGCTATTCGACTCCGCCTATTCCCATTCTCAATGTCTGAGAGGGTGAATGCATGGTTTTCCTCACTCCTAGCCAATTCCATCACAACTTGGGAGGATCTCACTCAACAATTCTTGGGAAAGTACTTTCCTTCATCAAGATCTTTCAAGCTGATGACAGAAATATGTTGTTTCCAATAGTATGAGATAAAATCACTATTCGAGGCGTGGGAGCGATTCAGAGAATTGTTAAGAAGATGCCCACACCATGATTTTCTAACTTGGAGGCAGGTGCAAATCTTTTACAGTGGCCTATCCATCCATAACAGGGCCACAATTGATGTCGTCACAGGAGGCTCTCTTATAAGGAAAGACCCAAATGATGTATACAGATTGATAGATGAAATGACATCCGCTAGCTTTCAGTGGCACACAACTGACACATACAACCACAAAAGAAAGGAAGTTGCACAAGTCTATCAAGTGGAGGGCAACAACCCCCTGATAAGCCAAATGGCAGCTCTCACAAAGTAATTGGAGTGCTTAATGAGAGCATAAGATCAACCCACAAAGTCGGCCCATAATACAAAGTTTGATCAAGAGGAGGCAAACTTTATGGGTAATAATTATAACCCAGGATGGCGCAATAGCAATATGACTCCTTGGGGAAGCCGCCAAAGAAATCAAAATGCGCCCTATCGACCCCCTATGTGCAAAATCAAGGAGAGAAGATAAAAAGAAAAGAAGCTCCCAGATTTCAATCCAATTTTCAAGAACAGATGATGCAATACGTGCATAGCTCTGACAAGAGAATAGCAAAACTTGAGGCTCAGATGGAACAACAGATTGAGAGGGAAGATAAGAGGTTTGTAGAAATTAGAGCTGAGATGAGGACTCAGTCTTCAAAGCTTGAATCCAAGTTAGAGCAAATCACTAGTCCTCTCAGTCAAAGAGCACTAGGAGCACTATCGTCCCAACCAGAACCAAATCCTAGGGAACAACCTGAGGAAATTACTTTAAGAAGTGAGAAAAACTTGAATGGAATGCAAACACATAAGTCATGCACACCTGTGCTTATTGATCAACACGCCCTTGCATCACCCTGCACGCCTATGCTGATTGAAAAAGAACGGTCGTGCTTTGAACAGCACGCCCATGCAAACAATGAAGGCACGACCGTGCTAGTACCAAGCAAGGTTGTGCTCACCGAAGACACGGCCATGCTAGATGATAAGCAAGGTTGTGGTTACCACTCAGATACGAAAAAGGAAACAAGGGAAGATGTATCAATGATGCCAAGGCAGAAAGTTCCATTTCCACAACGGTTGATGGGTAACCAGAGAGACCCTCAGTTCAATAAGTTTCCTGGGATCCTCAGAAAGCTCCACATCAATATCCCTTTTGTTGAAACCATCTCACAGATGCCTAAATATGCTAAATTCCTCAAGGAGATGCTGAGCAACAAGAAGAAATTGGAAGAATTCGAGACAGTTAGATTGAATGAGGAGTGCTCAGCAATATTACTAAGGAAGCTGCCACCTAAGCTTAAGGATCCAGGGAGTTTTACGATTCCATACACTATAGGCAACTCTTATTTTGATAAAGCGCTCTGTGATTTAGGCGCGAGTATTAATCTAATGCCATTTTCTGTATTTAGAAGGTTGGGTATGCAAGAACCCAAGCCAACTTCAATTTCTCTGTAGCTCGTTGATCACTCGATAATGTATCCTAGGGGCATAGTGGAGAATGTCCTGATCAAGGTAGATAAGTTCATATTCCCTGCAGATTTCATTGTCCTTGACATGGAAGAGGATGACAAAGTACCCATCATACTGGGAAGGCCTTTCCTAGCCACAGGAAGAACGATAATAGATGTACAGCAGAGGAAGATTAAGATTGAATGATGAGGAAGTAGTATTTAAAGTTTTTAATTCACTCAAGCATCCTTCCACTTTTGATTCATGTAATTTTGTGACAACTGCAGATACTACCTCCCTCTCCCTGAATGTGCCACAAGTACAAGATGAATTAATAAAAGATACATTGGAGAGGATACTTACATTGGAAAGGAGGGATCTGAACAACACTGAAGAAATAATAGATGAGATCTTAGCATTGAACAGTGGGGTGCCTGGAAGATGGTTTGGGCGAAGGATATTTGAAGATCTAGGAGAACACTCCCGAAAAAGAACCAAGCCATCAATCGAAGAACCTCTTGAACTAGAACTCAAACCTCTTCCCTCGAATCTTAAATATGCCTTTTTATACCCTCTATCTCACTTACCTGTAATTATTTCTGCCAATTTGACAGGTAGCATGGAGGAGAAGCTTCTGAGAGTACTGAGAGAGAACAAGAAGGCTTTCGGGTGGAGCATCAATGATATTAAGGGCATCAGTCCTTCCATATGCACTCATAGAATTCACATGGAGGAGGAGTTCAAACCAACAGTGCAACCCCAGAGACGATTAAATCCTAATCTGAAAAAAGTAGTGAAAAAGGAGGTAATTAAGTTGTTGGATGCCGATATCATATTTCCAATCTCTGATAGCCCTTGGGTGAGTCCTGTGTAGGTTGTACCAAAGAAAGGAGAGACTATTGTTATGCAGAATGAGCAACAGGAGCTTATCGCCATCAGAAAGGTAACCAGATAGAGGATGTGTATTAACTATAGGAAGCTTAACAAAGCCACCAGGAAGGATCACTTCCCTCTACCCTTTATTGATCAAATGTTAGAGAAGTTAGCTGGGCATGAATATTACTGTTGTTTAGATGGCTATTCTGGTTATATGCAAATACCTGTAGCTCTTAAAGATCAAGAAAAAACTACTTTTACATGCCCGATGGTACATTTGCATATAAACGAATGCCGTTTGGATTATGAAATGCCCCCACTACCTTTCAAAGGTGTATGATGACTTTATTTTCAGATTTGTTAGAGCATTGTATTGAAATCTTTATGGATGATTTTTCTATATATGGCACCACATTTGATAGTCATGTACACAACTTGAATTTAGTTTTACAAAGATGCAAGAAAGCCAATTTGATTTTAACTTGGGAGAAGTGTCAGTTTATGGTTGATGAATGCATTGTTTTGGGCACAAGGTGTCAGGAAAAGGTATTGAAGTAGACCTGCCAAGATTGAGGTTATTTCTAAACTACCTCCCCTTACAAGTGTCAAGGCAGTCAGGAGTTTTCTAGGGCATGCTGGGTTCTATAGCAGGTTTATACAAAACTTCTCAAAAATAGCAAAACCTCTTTATGAATTATTAGCTAAAGATGTAGAGTTTAAATTTGATGAAGCATGTTTATCTACTTTCATGAAATTAAAAGAGAAATTAACAATTGCTCCTGTGATTGTGGCCCCGAACTGGTCTTTACCTTTTGAGCTAATGTGTGATGCTAGTGATGCAGCTGTGTAAGCAGTTCTAGGACAAAGGCGAGATAAGGTGTTTCAGGCCATTTACTATGCAAGTAAAACCTTCAACGACGCTTAGCGTAATTACACCGTATAGAGAAGGAATTACTTGCTGTTATCTTTGCATTTGATAAATTTCATTCTTATTTGATAATGTCCAGAGTTGTTGTCTTTACTGACCATTCTACCATTAAGTATTTGTTGTCAAAACAGGATGCTAAACCAAGGATTATACGGTGGATTCTTCTCCTCCAAGAGTTTGATGTAGAAATTAGAGACAAGAAAGGGAGTGAGAATGCTGTAGCAAATCATTTATCTCGATTTGATGCTTCAGTAAGGGAACCCACGGTGAAGGAGATCAAGGATTCTTTTCCTGATGAGAGACTCCTCACAATTTCTAAGGCACCTTGGTATACAAATTTTGTAAATTATCTGGCAGGTAATGTAACTCCTAAACTACTTGACAAGCATAGGCTTAGAAAGTTTTGGTTTGATGTGAAGCATTATATTTGGGATGAACCTTACCTCTTTAAGATTTGTGGGGACAATATGATTAGGAGGTGTGTTTCAGAGAGTGAAGTTAATGAGATTCTTAACCATTGCCATTCTAGGGAGGTGGGAGGTCATTGTGACCCATCGAAAACCGCTCATAAGGTCTTGCAGTGTAGTTTTTATTAGCCTACTTTGTTTAAAGATGCTCATTTATATGTTAAGTCATGTGATAGGTGTCAAAGAAGTGGAAATATATCTAGGAAACATGAAATGCCTCTTAGTAATATCTTAATTTCTGAATTATTTGATGTCTGGGGCATAGACTTCATGTGGCCTTTCCCCAAATCCATGCATAATGAATACATATTAGTAGCTGTTGATTATGTTTCCAAATGGGTAGAAGTTGTAGCATTACCCACCAATAATACTCGAGTTGTGATTAAATTTCTAAAGAAAAATATTTTCACTAGATTTGACACCCCTAGAGCTATTATTAGTGATGGTGGCACCCATTTTTGCAATAAACAATTTAAAGCTCTTTTGATAAAATATGGTGTCACCCATAAGGTGGCCATTCCTTATCACCCCTAAACTAGTGGGCAAGTTGAGATATCTAATAAGGAATTGAAAAGAATTTTAGAGTGCACTGTTAACAACTCCAGAAAAGATTGGTCTCTGAAATTGGATGATACACTTTGGGCCTATTGCACTACTTTCAAAACCCCATTTGGTATGTCCCCTTATTGTTTGGTTTTTGGTAAACATGTCACTTACTAGTTGAGCTTGAACACAAGGCCTATTGGGCCTTGAAGTCCCTAAATTTTGATTCACAGGTCACAGGTGAAAAGAGATTGTTGCAGCTCAATGAATTGGATGAATTGTGTTTTGAAGCATTTGAAAATGCCAAGTTATACAAAGAGCGTACTAAGAAGTGGCATGATAAACACATTTATCATAGGAGTTTTCAAGCAGGTGACAGGGTTCTGATCTATAACTCTCGATTGCGACTATTTATTGGAAAACTGAAATCCAGGTGGTATAGCCCCTACAATGTGGTCAAGGTTCTTCCATATGGGGTACTAGAAGTGTCCAAGCATGGAGAAGAACCTTTCTGTATCAATGGGTTGAGAGCGAAGCTATACATAGAGAATGTGACCCCTCCTGGTCACACGATAACACTTGACTAGCACAGGAAAGATGTCAGGCTCGCGACATTAAACAAGCGCTTCCAAGAGGCACCCTGTGTTATGTTTTCTTAATTATGTCTCTTTTCTTAATTTTATTTTAAGTTTTCATTATTTTTACACATAATGAAGAGGGTAGACGAGAAATGCACGGTCGTGCTTTCATACAGCACGACCGTG